ACAGTGTCATTGTTAATATCATTTATCATAAGATAATGCATAAACCTGATCATAATTTAACAGTCAAGCGTGATTCATCATGCACAAATACTGCTTCCTTTGATTTCTAAAATTTGTTATTTTTGACACTTTGTTAGCATCTCATGATGAGAATGTAAGTGTGAACAAGAATATTTTTATTGTATTGTAAAATTGTATTTTTAATTGTAAAATTGTATTTTTTTAAATTGTAAAAACGTATTTTTATAAAGCAATTAATTTATACAATTCAAAGCATGATATATCATGTAAAAATGATTCTTTTGATTTTTAAAAATTATTTTTAATACCTTTTTAACACCTCAGGGTGTGAATGTAAGTGTGAAAAAGAAGTTCTTCCCACTGGTAGAACCGTAGAACCCTGACAAGTACCTTGGGACCGGCTGTACTGATGCAGCCCGGGCATACAGATGGATGATAGACAGCAGGGTGAGTGAGAGAGAGGGAGGGAGGTAGTTTAAGATAAAAAGGAAGCGTTCTTGTTGTGTTAAATTATTAACTAGTTCTCTCTATCTCCCATTTGAGCACTGAGAAAAACTCATTATCAAGAGTATACTGTGTGGTAGTCATAGTGTTTTCACTTTCTTCAATGAACTCTGCAAAATTTATAAATTTATTACATACATGTATGTAAATGTACGTACATGTAGGTGTGAGAGACTAGCTAAGATATCAAATCCTTTCTCAGTCTTTCGCTGTCACACCATCATGAACTCATAGATATTAGAGTACATATGAACTGTACCTAAAGGCTAAAGTGAGCCACGCCCACAAGCTTTGACCACACCCATCACAATACATTGATTATTATTGTTGTTGTTGTTATTGTTATTATTGTTTGGGTTTTAATCCTGGTCGTGCTATTGTGGAGATAAAGAAAATGCTAGCAACAGCAAGTTAAGATTTATAAATATTACAGAAATACAACTACAGTACAGTATTATTAGCTAATATATCTGTATATTGGTATTAATATTACTATTTTCATGTATTCATTACTATTAATATTTATAATGAGTAATTAATTAGTTTAATGTGTTATGTTCTGATAACTACAAGCTGGAAAATTGTTCATTAATTTTATTTAAAAGTATAAATGGCCATCAAAGTTCTAGCTCAGACTAGCTGCCAGTGATGTTATAAATAATTGAAGTTTAATGTGTTATTACTTATTAGCAATGTTGAAATTGACATTGAATTGAATTGAAATTGTTGATTAGCAATGTTTATCTCGCAGGGGTTATGTACCCATGTTGTTATTTCTATAGAAATGTGCAGAGGGCATACAATATAATTGTTTGCTAAAGGAAGTTTTCTTAAGAGAGTTAACTTAATTATATAAGTCACGATCAATCTTATTTGTTCAAACTTGGAAAGATGGAAAGAAATTATACTTTTACTGGTGATTTCAGTCCTAAGGCAGTAGCAGCAGTTCTTAGTATTGAGACGATACTAGCTCTCATAGCTAATGGTGTAGTACTAGTCATTACTATTTATCAAAGGAAGTCCTGGAAACAATCATCAACAATATTCTTTACTTCTCTCATACTGGCACACCTTGTATTGACACTCTATCTTCCTTTCTCCATTGCTGCATTAGCTGCTGGTGAGTGGATCATTGGTAGTACTGATGAAGAGAAGCAAGGAACCTATGGTTTCACTGCTTTTGTAATATTATTCAGTGTCTTATTATTATTCTTCAATATTCAAATAATAAAAACTACATGAATATACTTTTACTGCATGTATGTGTGTGTGCTAATAATGCATTCATGGCATGTTATTGTTCTTAACAACAGCAGTGCAACTATCATTTATCTTACAAGAATGCAGCAAGAAGTAAAATTTAAGTTCTGTGTCACGTCTCAGTCCCTCAGCCAAGCTCTGCTATTGATTGAAAATTTTCTACGTCTTTTCCATATAGTCTTTAGAACAATAGGTACAATTATAGCAACTATTGCAGTGATGCAAGTAACAACATTAAGAGCGATTGATACTTTTCCATAAGTTGTCAGTTCGGCACATGGCTCACAATAGCAAGTTGGCTCTTTATAATATATGTTCCCATTCCTCACAACACTGGCCGTCATCGTCTCATTACTACAATTCATGAATTGCAGAGAAACATAATCTATTTCAACCCCATACTCATCTGCAACTTGAGCAGTGATTGTTATGTTGTAGACTCCTTTACCAATATCAATTGTGTCTCCAATTGGGCCTGTAGGTAGAAACTTATTCCAGAGTAATCCATTGAGGCTATGGGGCCTGGTCACAACTTTTCCTATCATTCCAAATCCATCTAATTCCAAAGTAAAGACATCAGATAAACCGTCGTTACTGTACTGCAGGTTTTGTACTTGCATTGCACACTCTTCCTCCTCCTTCCCAGTTAGTTTGAATATCATTGTTATTGTTCCTCCTTGTTTTAAAAATACAGCTAAGCCGTTTATAGCACCGCTCCTGTAGTTTATGCTTGCACTAGAACTAGCCCCATCTTCTGCTTGTATAGTTAAATCAAAATCAGCATTTGCAGATAAAAAGGTGCCAAGCAAAATTATACTTGAAAAAAACATTGCTAGCTCTGCCTCTGGTTATACTTCAGATTAAAATCAAAAGTTTAGAAATGTGTTGAGGAAGTTTTTGTCCCTCAGTTATATACTCAAAGCTGAACCATTATTCATAGATATTTTTGTGGGTGTGGCTAGTTATTAATGAGATAGATATTTATTAGATATTTCCTTTAAACTCTGTAAAACACATTTTCAAGGGACATCATTTACTCACTTCAGTAATAGTTTGGTTCATTTGGTTTGATTCCATCTTATTTTCTCCTTGTTTACTTCTTTTTTCTTTTCATTTCCAGAGTCTGATCTTGTTCAAATTTTTCATATGTTAGATTAACATTTATCTCATTATAACCTAAGCCCATTACTTAAAGCCAGAGTATAGTTGCATCTAGATTATAGATTTAGAATTGTCACTTAATTGTTGGGTGGCTAGAACAAATGGGAGCCATTGTGTATCATCATTCATTGAATAAAATTTGTTATTTCTATAGAAATGTGCAAAGGGCATACAATATATCTTGATATAATGGTTCGCTAAAAGAAGTTTTCTTATGAGAGTTAACTTAATTATATAAGTCATGATCTGTTTTGTTTGTTCAAACTTGGAAAGATGGAAAGGAATTATACTTTTACTGGAGATTTTAATCCTGAGGCAGTAGCAGGAGTTCTTAGTATTGAGATGATACTAGCTCTCATAGCTAATGGTGTTGTACTAGTCATTACTATTTATCAAAGGAAGTCCTGGAAACAATCATCAACAATATTCTTTACTTCTCTCATTCTGGCACACCTTGTATTGACACTCTATCTTCCTTTCTCCATTGCTGCATTAGCTGCTGGTGAGTGGATCATTGGTAGTACTGATGAGGAGAAGAAAGGAACTTGTGATTTTAATGGTTTTGTAATACTATTTAGTGCTTATGTCATGTTTATGACACTGAGTCTCATATCAATCGATTGCTTCCTTTTTATTATAAAACCTCATCTCCACAAGGGGTTCATGAGTCCAAGGGTAGCTCTGGTCCTTGTCATTATTGTGTGGATAGTCAATGCTGTCTTTTTCTCTTCAGGATTCATCAATGGATCTGGTATGGTATACCAGTATATAGATAGTCAAGGACTCTGCTATGCAAACACTACCAGTCCTATAATGGCTGCTACTCG